GGGGGACTGCCAGTTTCAGGACAGCCTTGGGGGGAGCTTTTCAGGGACCTCAGCCTGTGAGGAATAAACTTCCCAAGACGGCGGGAGGGAGGGAAGCTTTCTCAGCCACATGTCCCCTCTACAGCAGCACTTTGGGGGTTAAGTCAAATCCGGGAAAGGGAAATCTTTTCCCAGAAGCACCGCCCAGTGACTCAGGCCAGAGGGAGGGAGAGGACCTGGGGGAGGGGAGAGGGAACCAGCAGTTCCCCAGCTCCTCAGGGGTCATGAGTCAGCAGAAAGACTAAGGGGCCAGCCAGCAGTTGGTAGCACCCGATCCCTTCCTCCTGTGCGCCCCCTTTCCTCCCTCCCCTCCCTCTCAAAAGAGCCAGGCAACCGACCCCTGTCCCACTAGGCCCCTGTATTTCGGGAAGTGGCTCCCTCTCCCATTCCATCCCAAAGGGAAGTCTCCCTCGACCCCTGGCTTCCTCCCATCAAGTCACTACCCACCCCTCCCTGAGAGCCACTCAATCCCTTCCCCAATTCCTTCCCATCCCCCAGCATCCTTCCTTTAGACTAGGCCCCGTCCTGGCTCCTCCTCCCAGTTCAACCAGTCCCTACAGATGAGCCCCATCCCTGGGTTCTGTCCCAGGCCCCAGTTCCAGAAGGAAGCCAGCTAAGGCTGCCCCCCTCCCACCGGGTTTGCTGCATTCCCACAGCTTGGCTGGTTCTGACCAGTTAGGTTGAGTTTGGGGACTTCTCTGGGCTCCCAGATGATCCTTAGGAAATAAGGCCAGTTCTGCCTCCTCAGTCCCTCCCCAAACACACTAGCAGCACAGGAAAACCTCGGAGCCCTGAATACCCACGTCCAGGAGAGAACAAACAAGAAGGGATATCAGACAGTCAGTACCATCGCCCAGGTCTCTTGTGGGCCCAGCAGCGGCACCGTTTGTTAGCACTGGCTGGCTCCAGTGAGCACCATCCTTAGCAGCTGCATCTTGCAGCAAAACAGCAGAAGCAGATGAGCTCAGAGCACCCAGACCCCAGCTTGTGTAACTGTAACTTGGAGCTGGGGAAGGGCAGGAAGCCGGGGGTGCCTGTGGAGAGACAGCTGAGGGGGTGGCCCAGCACCCCTCCAACTCCCCCACAACTTCCGTCTGGGGAGGCTTTGAAGTTCGACTTCCTGTGCTGGGGCTGCAGCAGGGGGTGGAAAGCGACCCTGTGGTCTACTCTGACCCAGCCACCTCGCCAGACTGCTCAGCTCTTCCCTTCCCCCGTAAGAATTTTTTAAAGACTTTTATTGGTTTTTAGAGAGAGAAGAAACGAGAGAAACATCAGAGGGGAAACATGGATCAGCTGCCTCCTGCACATCCCCTACCAGGGATTGAGCCCGCAACCCAGGCATGTGCCCTGACCAGGAACTGAACCAGCAACCTTCCGGTGCACGGGACGACACCCAACCAGCTGAGCCACATGGGCTAGGGCCCCTGTAAGAATTTGTCCATTACATTGGGTTTGTTCACTTAATGTCAGAACCTTTGAGGAGCTCATGAAGCTTCTCTAAAGCCCCGTTGCAATCCCACCTCCCTGCCCTGAAGCCCTCCATTAATGAGGCTTCCCCTACCCAAGCTCATTAGATGCTCAGCCCCCTATGAACTTTAATAACACGAATTAACTTTATGTATTCTTGGCGCTTATCATAATAGAATTATCTTGGGTGAGTAGATATGATCTTCCCACTAGACCATAAACTCTCTAAGAGACCAGAGAGAGTATCTTGGTCAGAGATAGTGGCCTATCTTCTTGGGTATCTTCTCAGCACCCAGAACTGGGGGAGCAAAAAAAAACAACACAAGGTTGACCTAATGGCTGATCGGCCCTCCACTCCAGGTGAAGCCAATGATTTCCAAAGAGGGAGTCAGTGTCCCCCCTCCCCTTAGGAATATGTTTATCTCCAGGGGAGAGTTCTTAAAGTACCCGCCTCCATCCCACACATGCACACCCTCACTGGAGATTGTAATAAGTGTCCCCCCACTCTCCCTTTGAGAGTCACTGGTGAGTAAAAGCAGCACCTACGAATGATACAAAGGCCGATAAGAGTTTGAGAACCTCTGCTCTGGCTTGTTAGGACACGTACTTCACTTGGCTATTCCCCGGACCCTTCGCAGGCCCCAAATTAAATCCATCAATCTCCTGCCCTAGAGAAATGTCGCACCACCAACTTGTCAGCACCAATGCTGAGACCTCTGCCACCTTTCTCTCCTCGGGGCCCTCCCCACC